ATATATGTGTATATATATATGTGTATATATATATATGTGTATATATATATGTGTATATATATATATGTGTATATATATATGTGTATATATATATATATGTATATATATATATCAAGACAGATGTGTTAAAAAGATGCGAGTTTCTAATTTTACAACCTTACAGCCTAAAGCACATTCGATAAGAATTCCACAATAACTAACATGACCACACTAAAAAACAAACAACTAACCAATCGACGGAAGATGATACGATGTCGGAACCATCCAAAGTGATTCCAGTAACCTGCATCTTATGACCCTTCAGAGTCTGAACTTTCTCTCCGGTTGCCAAATCCCAAACCAAAACAAGTGTGTCCATTCCACCAGATATAAGGGCACCTTCTGAAAATTGTTCATTTGGAGAAACCCAAGCCAGTGGTCCAACAAAACTAGTATGCCCAAGTAGTATCTTTGATGAAGTGTATGCAGAATTGTTAGTCTGATCCAAAGACCAGAACCTAATGGTTCGGTCTCTTGATGAAGTTGCTATCCCAATGTTGTCGCATACACATATGCCACGGACCTAACAATTAAACAAGCAATTAACATTATGATTAAAGTTGATATAAGCTCTTCTTGTAACAAATGCATGCAGACCACAAGACCACCGCTGATCTACCTGTTTTAATCTGGCTGTTTTAATGGTAGATGCTATAGCAATATTACAACAGGACTAAAAAGCAACACAGTAAAATGTCCTCCCTTCCAAAACTAGAGCTAAATTTAGACTTTTGGACGATATTTGTGAAATCCTTGAAAACTGAAGTTGATAAGGAGTTATTAAATAATGACACATGCAACACTTGTTATCATCGACTAACTACTACTATCAATTAGTAACTAAAAATCTCTGTTAATATTCAATATTTAAATGAATCGGCGTCAATTTTCGAAAGTTTTCTTCAAAATGCATCTCTAACTTTCAACAGTAATCAGAACTCGAATCAGATGAATACTACACTTAATCATTCCTGTAAAAAATTCAAATGTAGCACCATCCGCTTTACTAAATCGTAACTTTTATCATTTTCTCCATGAAATCAAAACTATGTTCTTGGTGCATTGTCCTTAGCGATAACAAGATCTCCACAAAGAATCAAAAACTAAGCCAGTTTAACTACAAAATCGTTCAAATTTGAATTCTAATTTTCCAAATCATAGCAAGAACTCGATCAACAAGTAAAACACATGAACTCTACTGAAAAACCCCGTATGCATGAATCAGAATTGGGGACTAGAGAGAGAGGAGACATACGTCGTCGTCATGACCTCGAAGCTGACAGCGTAATCGGTACTCAGAGAAGTCGATATCCATAGCCATACGGAGTGAGTATTTAGGGTTTTGGGGAAAATGAAACAATCGGAATCGATCGTCGTCTCCGGTGAAATGGAACGTTTACAGCATCACTTGTTCTCCAAGTTGTGTTTCTTGCACGATATAAACCCTTTCGTCTTGACTCTGCTGACTGGAGAAAAGTTTATTACCTGTACATCCAGCGAAAACAAAATTGTAAAAAAAAATTATTAACATCGCTATCCAACCCCATATGCAAACCGATTAATCTCAGGACGATCATATATTTTGTAGATAATTAGGAGTCATCGTATTTGAACTTTCATGGCTATAAAATGACTTTTATTCCTTTTTAGATTTGAACCTAGGACATCTCATACTTTTGACCTTTGTAGACAAGCTTAAACCAATCAGGCACCACTCTTATAGTTAAAATTGTAAATTTGTAATCTAAATAAAATTACGTTCGTTTCTATTTTTTTATTATTAAAATATACAACAAATATTAACGTTTTAATATACTGAAAAGCTATTTAAAACCTAATAAACCGTTCCATTTTAAATTATTAAATTTTTGAATTAACTTTTAAAGGTAAACTACATGAAAAAAATAACGTGCTTTGAATTAATTTTTATTTTGAGTCACGTACTTTTAGAACTTTTATTTTCGTATCGAATATGTAAAGTTTTAAACATTTAAGTATTCGGGTAACCGGTTGAAGATTAATTTTAAATTAAAAAAAATCCATGTCACTAACCACATCTGCAAAGTTGAATACAATATCACTCGTCATATCAGCATGATAACCAGTTAATGTTTCAACCGGTTACCCGGGTACTTAAATATTTAAACTTTACATATTATGTAGCAAAATAGAAATTTTGAAAGTATATTACCAAAAATATGAATCAAGTTAAAGTACGTTACTTTTTCATGCAATTTGCTCTTTTTTTAATGAAAAATCATTAAACTCTCTCATTTTGAATCATTAAATCTCCAAACTATTGTTTTGAACGAAAAAACTATTAAACTTTCTATTTTAAATAGTTAAGTCCCTCCACATTTTTTTTAACAAATAAACCATCAAACTTGTAAAAATTGGTTAATTATATTTTTTTAACAAAAAAAAAAACTAATTGTAACAGGTTAGAAAGGTCTTTAAAGTAAGAAAGAAACTTAAATCGGTTTTACCGTTTCCAAATCCTATGCGTTTCAACCCTTCGCAAACAACGATCTCACTCCCCCCGCATCACTCATTGTCGTCCCATTATTGTCCATTCTTCATGTCATCTATCATACCATTGGCCTTTGTCATCGATCTTCCTCTTTTTTTATATAGCTTTAGAGGGTTACAAGCATATTTACTTTAAGACATTTCTAGCCTGTTACAGGTAGTTTTTTGTTAGATATAATGTAAATAACCAATTTAAAAGTTTGATGATTTATTTTACTGGAAAAAAATTATATAAGAACTTAATCACTCAAAATGAGAAAGTTTAATGGTTTTTTCATTCAAAAAAAAAATAGTTCAAAGACTTAATAATTCAAAATGAAAAGGTTTATTTTTTTTCATTCAAAAAAATAATTCAAAGACTTAATAATTCAAAATGAAAAAGGTTTATTTTTTTCATTCAAAAAAATAGTTTAAACTGATCATTCAAAATGGGATATTTCGTTGGGTTGTCTTGAACTTTTTTCTTTAATATATTTTGAAAAGTTTTATATAAAATATACAATCAAATTTATTGGTGGAAAAAAATTAAAAATCATCTCTCTCCTCTATCGTTGAGTTTAATATAACTTTAAACTCGAGTTTTCTATTTCATAAAACAATATAAAGGATCTATCGGGTCAAAATAAAAAACAAAATCTTCCTTCGCAAGTCGTCATGACTTTTACCAATTTTACGGTAACGACAATTAAGAGATTAAATTTGCCACAATTTTAGTGCTTAATAGCAGTGCGATGGAGCTCGATAACTTTGGCTCGCATGCTCTAGACCATGTAAACCCGAACTTGAACCACACGATATAAACTTCTGGTTCAAGGTTGGTGTCGTCCGTTTGTTGAGCAACAAAACCTCAACGTCGTTTAGAAGTGGCTTAATGAGCTGAATAAAACAGAAAAGTTCAGTTGTTGCTTAAACAGTGGCTTATTTACTCAAATGGTTGGAAGGTGATTGATGCGTACCACTATTTGTTTCGATTTGCAAACTCGAAACTTTGATTTTCATTAGAATATTCGTTTGATTTATGGTGTTTACGCTGCGTACACGTTCATTTTATTCATAGATATTACTACGTTTGTGGTAAAATCGACGTTAATTTGTACAGTTTACCCATCTGTAGCAGGTTATATGTATCCACTATTCTACTTACTGAAATTTACAGGAGTTCGCATAGAAGTTGAGGTTCACTACGATACACCGATCAAAAGCCAACTTAGAACCCTGTATACGAAATCAAGCGAACACAACTGACTTGCATACACGAAACCAATTTACAATCTTGATAGATAAAAGATATTCATCAGGGGGCACGAAAAGTTCAGTCAACGTTCTTCAACCACCACTGCTGCCGCCACCGTCTAAGAAACAGCAGGGACAGATACATACTCATCCTCGTCATCATCGCGCCCACCACCACCACCACCACCACCACCGTCGGAATCAGAGCTCTCTACCTGTTCTCTTGGGCCGGTGATTGCTCTTCTCTCTTGTGTTGCAATGGGTTGATTGCTACCGTTGACCAACTCTTTGGCTGATGAAAAGCAGGTGAAATAAAGAGCAAGTATCAACGATATGCTGTAGAACTCTAGTCGGAAAACAAATAGTTATCGGCTTCTAATACTCTGTTTTTTGTCGCAAATAAACAATCGTATTTGCAAAATGCTGTCTTTTTGGCATTTTTCACAAGAATTGTTTTCAGTTCGCAATGAGAAGCCAAGTAAGGTGATTCAAGAAGTTAGGGGCCGTTTACTAAACCAAGTGCTTACCGGATAAATTTCCTTATCGGATGAACATGAGAAGGGCCAAGAATCTTACCGGGTAAGAGCAATGAAAAGGATAGAAAGTCTTACCCGGTAAGTAAGGATGGAGACTCTTACCCAAGTAAGCACTTACCCCGTAACTTGTTGCATTCGATATGTTTTAATGTACTAAAATCTTGCGTATCAAAATAAATTATAATGTTGAATCCTATCGATAAGTACCTACCGGGTAAGCATTTAGGTAGACGGCCCCTTAGTCAGTCATATAAGAAATAAGCAAAAGCATCCAAGGATATACTTGACATCAGAATAAACGAAACCAAACAAGCCCAGTATATCCCACCCGGAGATGGAGTCCCCCCGAGGGTAGGTAAGAGTAAACAACAGCAATAAAACTAGAAAGAAAGAAAGATGAATATACCTGACATAAAAATCTTCACCAAAATTGTCTTCATGAATTGAAATTCACCTTGGTGAGCACTAATAAATTTACCCTGAAAGTGTTCCCTTGTTAACTTCTGATTCGGCTAGGTTCGTATGATGACGAATTACGATAATAAAATTTGGAAACTAAACCGTCGAAACATCCATTTCAGTTATTTCGAAATGTAGAGTTTGAGAGAGAAAAAATAACCTTTTTTGAGAACAAGTACCGTGTTCCAACATTTATTAGATCGAATTCAATACACAGTTCATTAGGCAATGGAAATAAGTGGGAAGAGGTCTTACCGCTTCACTGTAAAACAAGCCCGCAATTTGATCAAGCCGAGCTTGATGCCTCAAAAAGAAAGGACGTAAATGATTCATGTATAATTGCTTAGCCCCCTACAGAACAGCAAATCATTTAGCATGAAAACTAGAGTCGTAATAAGAGTGAGAGACTAGGTTACAGAGGGAAATAGCAACACGTACCAAACGCTTACCCGGGTAAGCGCTTAGCAAGTCATATTACCTTACAAGATGAATATGGTAAGGACCAAGAATCTCACCGATAAGAGCGAGGCAAGGACCAAGAGTCTTACCCGGTAAGAGCGAGGCAAGGACCAAGAGTCTTACCCGGTAAGTGAGGACAACAATTCTTACAACGGTTAGCGCTTACCAGGTAAATTGTGGCATACGATGCCATTTTTGTTGACTAAAATCTTACCCGGTAAGTAATTGATAGTGTTGAATTTTACCGGTAAGCGCTTACCGGGTAGGTGTTTTGTATTTGGTAAACGGCCCCTTTTAGTTTCCACAAACTGAGCCCAATTGTGATTTGACTGGTCATTTGGGGCTGTTTACTACCTGCCGACTGCCTCTTACTGGGTAAGCACCCGGTAAGAAAGGATACTGTTTACCAACACACTCTGACCCACAAATACACTGACCCAGTAAGGAAAGGGTTGTTTTCTGACTCAGTCAGTGCTTCAGTCAACACTTACCCCGACACTTGGAAAACTACCATTTTCAGTCGGTGTTTACACAAACCACTCTTACTCGGTTAGCGCTTACCCAATTTGTGTTGATAAACGTGCAAACCACCGTTTGCTTGTAGTACATTCGATAATTGACCAATCAATTCAATTGTGACATTTTCTGGACCTTGAGTTGGGATTGTTAAAATTTAACACTGAAAAGGTTGCTTACATTTGTGGTGGGAAGTTGAAGCCAAACAAGAAATGCAAACTTCATGTGATAGTAAAGCGGAAACCTGAAAAGGTTGACAAGGAGTCCGTTGAATTTCGATAAGATGGATGCCATCTTGAGAGTGTAAATAGTTAAGCTAGGAAAAATATAGTTGTGTGAGAGATGATACCAGGATATAAGTTTGTCTGCAAATATCTCTCCAACACTAAATGACCCATAAACTGCTAGCAATTAATATCATTTGTTAGAGAGAGAAAGGAAAGGGAAAAAGAAGAAACACGACATGGTTTTCATGAAGAGTCACATATGTTTTTTTAAGTATATAATATTTTATATACGGCAAAACTCACATGGAGAGGCTGGGATTTATCGATAACCCGGATACCGCCGGGCCAATGACCCTTTGGTCAGAGTCCCATATTTTACTAGCCAGCTTGATTTGTGTTCAAAAGGGTGCCCAAAAGCAAGTGAAAAGTCCTTTAGACAATTTCTTTAGTTGAGCAGATATATACTACATGAAAATATGCATAATCATAATGGGGACTAGGTTCTATAGGAAGTGGTTATGGTTGGAATACATGAGATACAAGTTTAGTAATGAGCATAACAGCCCTGCTCAAAATCCTGAATCAAGTAGTCATTTATTTGGTACCTCCCAAGGAGCAGGAATCCCGAACATGTCCGTGTACAAAATATGGCTTTCAATTAAGTTCCGAACTAGTGGATGGTAAATAGCTCTACAACTATTTATTAGCTATAGAGCTCACAATCATTACTTTGTATGATTTTGCAAAAAAAAAAAAAAAAAAACCAGCTGCTACTGGTATGGTTAAAATGTTTAGGGGTTCAAGAGAGGGCATTGTTGCCACCACCACCTCGGAAGTAGCCGGTGGTCCTGAACATGTAAGGTCATAAATGTAATCCGACCTTAAATGTAACCTGATTATGCCTCGTAAATAGGTATTTCCATACAAAGTAAGCTGGAGATCCTGAACATGTGATATGGGTGTTCTCGTGCTTCCATAAAATGGTGGTGTTCTCATTTGAACCTCCATCTCTGTATATAGAGAGAGTCAGGTTCATACGAGAACAGTTACCAAATAAAAGAACAAGAAAACAGCTGAATCACATGTGATTTTACACTGAAATCATGTGTAAAATCACATGTAATTCACACGACTTTGGCCGTGACCTGAGGTCGCGGGCCAGGTCACCCACACACCCTTGCATAGACCGTTAGTGTACAATCACATGTAATTTTGCACATGATTTGGCCGTTTTTGTGTTCTCCATATATATATATATATATATATATATATATATATATATATATATATATATATTATTAAGCACGCTAAACGGTTATTGTTGAAAATCAAGAGGTATAAGTTTTGACGCTTAATGTACAAATTCAAAGCTGCAAAACCTCCTATGAAACCTCCCACGTCTCAAAATTATATTAAAAATAAAATCATTTTTAAATTTCAAATTTTAAATTACACTTTATACCCTTCTAATTAGTTATTTAATTTACTTTCTTCCTTTTTCAATTTTCATTTTACACCCTTATCATATTAACATAGATAATCGTATATGAACTAAAATACATTAAAAATACGTTTCTTTTTTCACAAATTATACCATTATAATCATCTCATCATTACCTTCAAAATGAGTCCAATATCGAATATTTTTTTATTTAATCATATTATTAAATATAATAAATAGGTAGTGAATTATTTTTTAAACTTAAATTTTATATTATACCTAGTTATTATTTAATTTGTTTTATATCCCTTACTTTGTCATTTTTCATTTTACACCCTAATTTATCTATACCCCTTTATAGAAGGGCACTTACTAGTTATCTTGAAAGTTTTTAGGAGGTACTATCTATCAAGCTTGATGTACATATTTTAAAGTTTCCATCTGCAAGTCCCATCGACTCTCCTTGCCACTAGAATTTTCAAAAAGTATCAACTGTTATGTTTATTGTACAAGATTCAAAGCTTATAAACTATAGCACCCACTTCCCTTGCAACTACCCTCACCCACCTTCCTTCAAATCCACCCTAATTTCTCTCCTCCCCTACTTGATCTTCTTCTCTCACCCGCAATTCCTATCAGTTGTCCACCCCTACAATGGCGACTTGACAACTTCAATGAAGTCAATAGTCAAAAACGAATTTCTACCAGGATCTTTAGCAGTGTGTAACAAAATGTCAAAATCATCTTGTCTTGTTGCCGTTTTATGTATGTAATCCCGTATTGCAATGTAGAAACTTTAACATCCCGGTTCAAATTCTAGTGTGTGTGTGTGTGTGTGTGAGTGTATAAATGTAATAGCATCATTACCTGCCCAGTATAAAAGCCACTTTTGTTGTTCATTTTGATCTTTTCTCTCTATTGCTTTAAATGTGTTGTAAACTGGTAAAACAACTCCGACAGAACAGCTGCAAAAAGAATATGACGTGTTATACAAGAACAAACCTAGCTCGGGTACTTTCTTTCACATCCAAGGACGATACATAATTAAACTCGAACAAGTGGACCAGCTACACGAAACATGGCGATAAAAGATCTAAAGTGCCAAAAACATCTATAAGACTCTCATGACTACTATTTAAAGTATGTGGTAGATTATCTAAGACTGTAAGTCTAGAACTACATGACATAAGGATGCGGAGAAGATTTCCTATGTTACTCACTCCCTCCCAAAATAAATGTCCACAATGAAAAAGACACAATTTTAGAGATGTGTGATTATCACACTTTTTAATTAACTAAATGACGATTTTACCCTTAATGATAGAGGGAATCAGGAAAGTAGGCCCTTACTTTTGAAAGTGGACACTTATTTTGGGGACAAACTAAAATAGAAATATGGACATTTATTTTGGGACGGAGGGAGCATTTACAATTGAGATGGATAATCAGACAAAACATCTGATCCAGATGATCAATGCATATACAGGAGAATGACCAAAGTGTACCATGCTGTTCGAACTACAATGTTGGAATCAAAGGGGACAAGAAGCAATCGCAGACCAACCTGCATTAGTAAAACAAATCAGAATCATTGCAAGCAGAAAAGAAAGTTTCAGTAACAGATGCCAATTAGAGAGAGTATCAGTACATAGAAGCAACTTGTATAAGGTGCTTCCAACAAAGACAACGGATTGTATTTGTGCCTGTTAAACTTTGCTGAATTATATGCGATTATTCACCCAAACATGTTGACTGCAGCACTATCTTATAGATAACCAAGGCAAGAAAAAAACATAAGCACTTAGACAAGGAAAACCCAATCAATGAATGTTCAAGTAACCTCAGGATGTTGATTGTGTGGTTAAGTATCTCTATTGAGCCGGTTGTAATTAGTTGATTTTTGTTGAATTTGTTATGTTTGGTGCAGATAAAAGGGTAAATGGTAATTGTAGATGTTGTCTGTTCATGGTATTATGATCTTGTTAGATAACGAATCCTCTTCATCCTTGCTTTGAAAAACATCTTTTACATATTGTGACTTATCAATTAACTTTTCGAATTCTAGTTTGAGCTCTAAAATTGAATTTTATTCAGAGTAGCATATTTTAATTTAAGCCATTACTTGAAAACCATTTTCCCAAATTGAATGCCTGTCTTATGGGTTAAATCTAAATATGCTACTCTGCTAAAACCACAATTTTGAGCTCAAATTGATTAGTCACATATCATCATCCACAAGATCATAATACCATGAACAAACAACATCCACACAAATCATTAGAACCGAACATAATACGCAACAAATTCAACAAAAATCAACTAATTACAACTCAAGTAATATACTCAACCCTAAACCCTAAACATCTCAGATCATTTACAACATTCAAAAATCAATAATTTCGCTATACGATAAATGTAAAGGAAAAAAAGAAATTGAAACAAAAAGTAGACTTTAACTTACAGATTCAAGCTCAATCATTGAGAAAACCGCTAAAATTTACTATAACAAACAAAAGAAAAACCCTAACCTACTAAAGATCGAGTTCAATTACCTCAGTGGGCAAATTTGATCCAAGAAACGCCATTGGATCAAGAGAGATAACCTGCGATTAAGTTCAGTTGACTATAAAACAATGATTTGGAAAAGATCGAATGATTCGTTACGAAACAGGAAGCATACGCGATTAACGGAGATTTATGGCGTATTCCGTTGATTGAATTTGAAGCACACATTTTACACTCCGGTCCATCAAGATTGTCATATTGCCATATAAGATCCTTGTACTTTAAATTTCGTAGTTTATATTTTCTTCCATTTTCTTTAGAATCACGTGATATATAAATATTTATACATTAGAAATATTTATATCAACAAATATTTATACTATATTATAAATCGATTTTGTTAGTTTATTTTTGTCTTTATATCAAGAAATATCTATATTATATTATGAATCATTTGACAAAAACTCTTAAAAACCATTTTTTATGCATAAAGTATGTTTATTAATATATATTACTTAAAATTCAAGATCACAAGTAAATTGTACGTAAGTACAACTTAGTAAATATTCATTTTTGAATTTCTATAACTAACTATAGATAAACATAATCAAATACGGGATAGACATCTCGTTTTAAATATAAAAAATCTGAAATATAATTAGGATAATTATTAGTTATAACAAAATACTTAATTATTATCTTTATAAAAATTATATTATTAAATGATAAATAAATTACTTTGTTATTAATTATAAATAAAATATTAAATTAAAAAAATTACACGAAAAACCATAACTTTAAATAGTAAATTTGATTTTAATATCGATATTTTTTTTTGTTTATGTACTTTATTTACTTTGTTTATGTACTTTATTTTCTTATAAGAAAAAACATTTTTGTCCTATGTTGTCCCTGTTTCAGTTCTTATCTATACTATATTATAAAGTATTTGACAAAAACTTTTAAAGACCACATTTTATGCATAAAGTACTGTTTATTAATGCATGTTACTTAAAACTCAAGATTACAAGTAGATTGTGCGTAAGTACAACTTATTAAAGATCCATATATAAATTCGTGTAACTAACTGCAGATAAACATAATCAAATACAGGATAAACATCTTATTTTAAATATAAAAAATCTAAAATATAATTAGAATAATCATTAAGTTCTAACAAAATACTTAATTATTATCTTTATAAAATGTTATATTATTAAACCAAAAATAAATTATTTCCTTATTAAACTTAAATGAAATTATAATAAAAAAATAAATTAAAAAAATTACATAAAAAATGAGAACTTTTAAATAGTTGATTTGATATTAGCATTGATATATATATTTTTTTCAAATTTATATTTTATTCAAAAATAAAATCATTATTGATTTCTTAAAAACACATAAAATCATATTATAACATCGACAAAGACAAAGAATAAAATAGAACATTAAAATCGAGATATATCTCGCTGCATTGCACGAGTACTCTTCTAGTTTCTATCTAATGTTACGCCAGACGTGGAACAGTGAGTTTTTGTTCTGTTTCATATTGCGCCAAACATGAGATAGTGGGTTTTGTCCTGTCATTTTTTGGCCCTAGCCCCCAAAGGCATCCGCCCCTCCATTAGACTCTCGGTCATTATTATGCATCTTACCGAGTAAGATTCTTAGTTCTTATCATACTCAATCAATAAGGTAGGTGATATTGACACATGCTTACCTCATAAGCATTTAGTAAGTCTTTCTTAGCATCGACATAACTACTTTTTTTGACGTCATCATAATAGGTGAATCTCACATGTAAACCAACAAATAAAATCATCATGAAAAACAAATATATGATTCCTAAAAATACACGTTACAAACAATTATAACTATAGTAACCGGTTGAAGTATTAATTGGTTATTATGCTGATATGACGAGTGATATGATATTTATCTCAATATTTTATTTTAATACATTGAGTTGGATATTTTTATTTTATACTCTATAAAGTTTGGGTAGATAAAATCCACTAAGAATATTTTTAACTGATTTTTCAAAATTTCTTTTAAAATGAACAACCAAACCTAATTTTTGTTAAATAAAGTTACATTTAACTCCAACAGAGATACTATGTTGAAGATTATAATATCAGTTACTTCCCCTCATACCAAATAAGCCGTTTACCAAACACTTACCCGATAAGTGTTTACCGCTAAAATCTAACACTATTATTTACTTATTAGGTAAGATCTTAGTCCACCAAAACGACATCGTATGCAACAATTTACCCGGTAAGCGCTTATTGTGGTAAGAGTCGTCGTCCTCACTTACCGAGTAAGACTTTTGGTCCTTGTCTTGCTCTTACCATGTATCATTCTTAGTCCTTAACATATTCATCCGGTGAGGTAACTTATTGAAACAAAAATTTGCCCAAGATCTCTATTTTCTTGGCTGTGGAAATATAATAAAATCTCTATCTCATACAAATTTTATTAAGCCAAAATTTTCTCATTTTAAAAATGTGTAAATCATGTAGGATTTAAATATATAATCTGTTTAACTATTGTATTTTTGACATTAAAAGATATTTTAGAAAAAAAGTGAAAATAAAAACCGAATTGAGGAACTTTTTGGGGTTTTGTTGCATGTTTTTTTTTTAAATTAAAGTAGGATATCCAACTCGTTATGTGAGTCGACTAATTTGAGGACGACCACCTGCTTTGCAGATAGCCTGGAGTTACTGCATTTGAACCTCCGTGGCTATAATTTTATTCCTCCTTGAATTTGAACTTGGGATCTCCGAACACTTTTGACATTTGAAGTCAAGCTCAAACCAACTAGGCATCACCTTTGTGGATGCAATCATACCAGCAGTAATGCACCGGATCCATGTTTTATTGTAATGATGCAAGCAGAACGGGACTCGCAGATGCTTTTGTTACCCCTTTGATTTTGATTTTATATAGAAATGTTTAAATAGTGTAAAATCATAAAGTAAATAATTTTCTTCTTCCCCAAATAATACTAGGTTCGTTTGGTTTCATTTACCAACAAAGACCGGAAAAAGTTCCAACCGGCCCAGTCTTTCGAAACCAAAACAAGCAAACCCAGTTTATCCTATCAGAATGTGGGGTCAGGAAAGATAAGATATTAGATATATACAGACGTGATCTCTACCTCAAATAACAGAACGACTATTTCTGTAACAACACCAACTTACGAAAAATGCGACAGAAATACCCCTAGAAAAGGAAGTAGAATCCTTGTTCACAACATTCTTTCTAGTTGTTCATAACCAACTCATCAAACTTCAAACAGCACACAAGTGTCATGTCACCAATTTCTGAATCCAAAATCTTGCTTAAAACCCAAAAGAAGTTGCAAAAAGCCTCAAGATTTTGGCAATCACCTACAAGAAAGATTTAAAGCTAGGGTTTGGGTTAATCTTCGAAAAAGATATCAATGTACAACAGTACCAGCGACCAACGGTTAGCAACAGCAATGACACCAATATAACATCCAGATTGAGAGAAGAAAACACGATATATCCGCTAAAGACCAGAATACCTACAAATTTCACAAGTCGTAAAGACTCACTTCCAAGCTTTTCTCTTTTCTGTGCGACTGCTTAAACGCGTTGAAATTCCTGGAAAATTTTGACATTCAGGTGTGTACATTTGCGTGTGTGAAGAAGAGGCTTTCACTTTTCGATGCCCTGCTGCAGATATTGTATCAGATCATAACCAGCAGTTGACCATTTGTCGTAGGCATCTACACATATGCGGATCATGAAGTTTGCGGCTTCTCTCTCGCTCATTTCAGGATGAAATCTCTTTCTTAGGTTACCGATGGGGTCTCCTCTGCTAAAACATGGTAATCCGCTTTCTACCATCATCAATACTGTGTTTATAATCCCATCCATATAGCGACGAGCAGCAAGATATCCCTTCACACACAAGCTAAGAATAGACAAAAATACAACTGGAATCAGGAATAGACGAAAAGAAGCTTTCGTGACATAAAAAACCAACACATCCAGGAAATCCCACCCGACAGTAGGGGTGAAGACCCTGGCTTGTGCGAGAGTGTGAGCAAACAGGTAGCAGGAATAAAGAATAACATATGGTAACAAAGCACGAGGAAAAAAAGTGAGAAAAAGTAACCAATAGGTACAATGAGAACATATAAAAGCTTCCATAATATAATTTCTTGTATTACTCCCTCCGTCCAAAAACAATATAAAAGGCAAACAGTTGTAGAAATGTGAAATTATTACACTTTCAATTAACTAAAAGACAATTGTACCCTTATTTATAGAGGAAGTAATGAATTCCTCCCTCTCATAATTAAGGGTAGAATTGGAAAGTAGACACTTATTTTGAGACAAACTAATATAAGAAATGTGGACATCTATCTTGTCATGGAGAAAGTATTTGATTTTCTGGCCCGGACTTATGTCTTCAAGGTACCATTAAAGCTACAAGCTTTGATTGGATCTGCTTGACTTTTAAAAGCTGTTTCATTTAAGCTTCAAAATGGCAACTACATCAACCATTATTTAAATATTGCCCTAAAAACCTTTTTGGAGATGAAAAGGTATACTAGTATTTATTTCAATTTTGAATGTGATGGTTATTAGATTTGAATATCAGAAACTAGACTCTACTTATGGATGGAGGGAGGGTTGTTCAAGTGATTGGAGCTTGCTCAAGATAACCTAAAGGTCTACGGTTCAGAAATGCCACAAGAATTATCCAGGGTGAGCCAATCGGTGGCCAACATAAATTTTCAACCCTCTCCCGAGTTTACTCACCCTTTGGATGAGGTTCCCGGGCCTTTAAAAAGAAAAATGTTGCTTTATTTAGAGAAGGAAATGGTAAAATGAAATCATGATTTCCAGACAAGTTATCAGGTATTTCCATACAGCATAAAGGGTTATTTTGGTGAATAACCTTCTTACAGATATTTTTTAAATGCATGACCTTCTGACAGATTTAAGAATGCCTCTGCCTAACAAAAGAATGTTTATTCCTAACCCAAGAATATCTAAAAATCTCTCAGAAGATCATGCATTTGAAAAAAAATCTGTTAGGAGGTTATTCTCCTAAATAACCGCAAATAATAAGATAATTCCGTAATTGTGATCTGAAGGGAAAGAAAAAACATGTTGCCCTTACCTTACAAATAAAAACCAAGTATCGCTTTTCATCGCACCAGATGGATCAAGTAACTGGGTCATCTCATGACTCAGCTTAAAGTGAGCACTTTCGAACCGCATGTTTCCACCAGGAGAAGTCTCCAAGATGAAACCAAAATCAATATGGACAAGCCTGCCTACACTGCATTCACAAGCCTTCATGTTAATATATAGTATTTTACTTCATGCCGCATAATACGTAATAACTAACATCTTTATTGCTCAACTCACACAAATGTTACTGATAGAACTCTAGTACTTAACAGAGGTGTCATGATATTCCACTCAACAGGCTTAAAATGGGAGGCTAGAAACGGCAGCAGCGGCATGAGGAATAACGACCGAACGTGCTAAATGCTAATCTATTTTCCGGGTAAATACGTTACTAGATGTTTTTCCATACGCCCCACATTCAATTCCTGAATTGGAAGACGAAGAACCTTTTTTTGGGGGGGCGCAGAGCACGGTTCCATAAATGCATTATGAATGAACAATCTTTGGTTCTCTACGAACATCCAATGTCCAGCTATATGGATTTTATGCTATCCAAGAGTCTTTCTATGTATAGTCTGTCAAAAGCTTAGAGAAAGTAGAGCACCAACCAAAGGGTGGGTAATGGCCCAGCAGTATCCAGGTTACGGTAGAAGGGTTCACTTGTGTGAGTTTTGTCGGCTCTAAATATTATATACTTCAAATAGAAAAAAAATTAAGAAGTAGGGCACCGTCTGAGAAAAGGGTTTGGAGGAAGGGAAAACAGAAAAGGGTGATGGGCACAAGTCCTCGTAAGGAATCAGCCATGTCTACCCGAAGAGCACAACCTCACAAGTGTAAGAGTTAGTAACCGGAGGTTGAATCTCGAAAGCATAACTAAACAACAAGATATATACCTCCCCGACCAATAACACTTAAATGATGGAAAGCAACACATAAACCAGTTGCAGGAAGGGTGCTACCAAATTTAGAGTAGCAAATAATCGATGAATAACTGACAACAGGAGCAGTAATTATATTGATATAGCAGCAAGACATGGGTAAATTAAGTTGAGGTTCCTTCTAAATATTGTCCACTACACAAATATCCATACCCACAAAGGGTAGAATATCCTTAGGATACATATAATATCAACTCCATGAGTTGCCAACCCGTCTACGTTGAGGCAAATAATTCTTTATAGTGAAAGCAAACATGTACTCCTGTTAAATCAATACTCATCAGTGTCAAAGTTGGTTTTTTACAATTTCAACTTGATAGTCGACATAACTTTTAAACATTTAACAACCAACCTCTCCATTCCAAAAGAAAGAGATACCATCTCATTAAGCTTTGTAGATAATTGACATTTACAAACAGACTACTGGTATTTAAGAACTTAAGTGGTGATATGAGCGGTGGTATTAATGGAGGCATGGTAATGGTAGACTGCAAAATCCTTATCATTTTAATGACGACTTTGAAAAAGCAAGTACCTAAAATGAAGAGAAAAGCAAAAGAAGTTTGTTTTTTGGAAAAATGTAATACTTATTTTCTGCTGATAAAAAAGATTAAAGTCCTACTGAAAACTCCCAACAGAAATTTTGGTGAATGCAATTGCTACAACCCATGACTGTGGAAAAAGCCATTAGTATATTTGGCAGTAATGCTACGAAACTTAATTACACAATGGATGTTTTAGCTTACTTGTCAAACAAAAGATTTCCATTATGTCTATCCTTTGGCTGGAGCAACAGGCTGGCAACAGCGTAACCAGCACTGCTGATGATGAAATTATGACGGGCAGCTTCAAAATTGGGAGAACCAACTGCCCCGAAGTCCTGTTGAAATATTTCATATAAACCGCCATCAGTGGTCTCACCCATCTGGCTTCTACTCCGTGTATTTGGAACAACCTGCAGAGAGAGAAATGAATTGGGTTTCTTAAAGGACATCTACAAGAAAGCAAGACCATTATTTATTGATCACTGAGGTATGCACATGTTAATATGTGAGGATAAACCATTGTTAATACGATCAGAAACATGTTCTCCTCAAGATTCGTAGAACATAAACTAAAAAGTAGAACCAGATCTGTGAAAGGTGACTCACCTCAATTATTCCTCTCTCTGGGTCAGTTGGAAGTACTCCATAAGGATATAGATAAAGATCGAGCCCAACTGCTTCAAATATGTCTTTAAGAAGTGAAATAACTTGTAAAGCAAGTACATCTTGTCGGCAGTCGTCTCCAACCTAAATATGCAGAAAGTTCATTTAACTATGTAATAAAAAGAAAGATAATCAATTGTAGACAATTCTTTTTCAGCTGGCTGCTATTTTGTGAATGCTTTTTTCCTTCAAATTCTCCCATTTTACTTTCTAGCTAATTTTGGTTCATGAAAAGATTTGTATTGTAGGATTCTTAATGCTCTACTCAGCCAACACCTAGATCGAAGGAATTTCAGTTTTACCAAGAACTTAAATTTGGAGATGTGAGTTAAATGATCTTTATAGGACAGCTTTGCTGTAATAAACTATTCTTCGTCCTCAGCCTGTTGATGGCAATACTTGTTTACCGTAGGTTCTAGATAAGCTTAGAGAACAGTATAAACACTTCCATGGAAAGGTCTCGGAATTAGGCAAGGTGTAGCTAGTTGTTGCAAGTTGGCATGTTGGCTTTAATTCAGTGGTCACATTTACTATTCTCCCATTTTCTTCATCCTTGTTACCCTTATCTGTCTTATTTTGTGTCGGGCTGTAAATGATAAAGTTCTTCTAAAGAGAATGTGTCTTTCATGGTCAAGGCTATCTCTAGCTTCTCTTTGTAAATAGGCTCAGAAATCTTGATTTTTGTACATTAGCAGAGACCCGTCAAGTCTCTTTGACTTGCTTTTATTTGAAACCATATCAAATTCACAAAATATCTACAAGGATCTCCTATAGAGCAAGAGTGGTAATGTTTACCTTGAAAATACAAGCTTGAGGTTTTATATCATTAGGATCCCCGTATCGATCAGCCACATCAAACGTGATCATAATTGGCACTTTTGCCGCCGACTGTAAGGGTATTCCACTGTTAACTTGAATACCCCTGACAAGCTTATTAGGCGCAGTAGGTAGATAAAGGTCAGCACCATCCACCTGAATCTTTTCCAACTCTCTGTACTCGAAGTATTCATAAAATATAATAACTAATTATTTACATGCTCAAGACAGTAGGACATAAAATGTGGCAATGGCCACCAACAAAAGCATACCACAACTGAGAGTCTATGGTCTCAACAACAGAAACATACCTCCTTATACCAGCTCTTCTTTCTTCTTTTGGAAGCGGATAGAGAACACCGGATATAGATGTGACTTTTTCAAAGAAATCAAATTCTCTACGAAATATGTCACGAGCCTTGGGACTGAAACCATCGATGATATGTTCTCTAACAACAGGCAGTAGACCCAAAAATGCTGTAGTCTGAAGAAGAAAATGGAGAGAATTTGGTTGCCAATCATAAATCATACTCATATGTGAATAAACAACTGAAGATGAATGCAAAGAGCAATCTCGTGATTTCAGTAAGAAGGTATAAAGACTGATAGCTCCTAGAACCACCCAGTTCTGAAATAATCGTGTAATAATTGGTAAAAGAGAGAAACGTTTCCATATTATCAGCATAATAATGTTGACATGCATAATTTTCTTTCAGAGTAACTTCCGATTTCCAGATGGAAATAAGCATTCTGCATGTGCACAAGCAAAACCACTTAAGGAGCGGGAATAAAACAAAGAAGAAAGGAGTAAATGAAGTGAGCATACTCACAAGAGAATGGCTGCCTTGCTAATGCTACAACACATATTCACATAATGGACTCAACTGATTCAACGCAAAAACAAAAGAATAGAATATTACACCACCTTGTGGATTAGGACTGCTCTAAATGATTTTACATGCTCGTTTACTATACCAATATGACTAGAATAACCATAGAACTGGTCACAAAACAACCAACCAAATCCACATAATGGTAATCAAGAAATAGCTAAATGCTGGTTAGTTTCTCTCAATCATGTTCTTGTTTTCGGTACACATAATACAGGATAGAACTGGATAAAAGGCTGTACCTTTGCTGACACTGCTTCTTTCCCTTGCTCCGGTGCACATGTCTCACCCTGCCATCAATAAATACTCTAGTTACTACATGAAAGCTGATAAATATTCTCAATACAATATATCTACGACCGCAGGCAAAATGTGTAGACCTGTAAATGCCAAATGAGAATATGGGAAAACACGTCACTCCTTTGAGCAGCTCTAATCAGGTATCCTTCAACTAACTTCTGCAGTTTCAAGCAATGTTGCATTAGTCAAATTACGGTAGGGAAACTACAGTTGGTTGGTAAGCTAGGTGGTGCAATAAATGCTTGCAATTTGACTGACAGTTGCTTTATGGCGCTCAAGAGGATAACATCATACTATATACATCCAAAACTATGTCAAACCACCGCCAAATAATTTTTTAATTCCAGTTAATAAGAAAGATCTTTTTTTGAAATTTGGTGATTGGTGGAACTACTTCAGGCTCGTTACAATTGTAAAAGATGAGAGCAATGTAATTATATAACATACAGTGTCCTTGCCAATACCCACCTCATCGTCATATCTTAATGCTTGAATTAACTGGGGCATGAAAAAGGTTACTCTGCTCGGAGGATATGACTCCAATACCCTCAGAATATAAGCCATAACACGCGGATGACCTTTGTATGCTGGAGTGAAGTACTCCAGAGCCTGTGTGATTGAACAAGCAGCCCAGTGTGTCAATTGTTGCAAAAGTGGAGAATCTTCATCTACAGCCTTGGGAGTCACAAAGTATGGTAAAGCCTCAGGTATGGTACGGATCTCCAGTATATGTGACTGCAACATAAAAGAAGGGATGTAACTATGGATAATAAGATTAGAAGATCCCCTTATGTTCAGAAATGGAAGTAAGTAAGAAGGTAATCAGGTTAAATTATCGGCAAATCTGCATGTAATGATCACAAATAATTCCAAAATCCTAAAGCTAATTACTTGAATATATGACCACAAACAATTCGATAACTTTAAAGCAAATTACTTTAATATATAACCCTCTGGCCCATGAAAATTGCAATAATTGACCAGCAACAGTTTTATGGATGTGTTTAACCATTTATCAAATGTTTACAATACTAACCTTCTGGGGCCAATGAATATCATCAGGTTTTTGTGATGACAACAATGTGCAAGTGCAGCCAGGTAATCTAAAAATTCCCATTAAATGGAAATGATGTAATTTTTATTGACATCCAAAATGAAACTTCTTGCAATTTTCATGGGACAGGGAAGTACCATGTAACCAAATTCATATTGATTAACAGTCCCCACAAGCATAAATATGCATGTTGAAGCAAAACATCATGAATACCAGATGTTACCTATACGACGGAAAAACTTCTTAAGAACCAATTTTCATTTCCCGTTACTTCCATCCCACAAATTATTAGCTATAACTCTATTGAATCATTTATAAAGCCAAGTTTTTTATCAAATACAAAAAATTCAACATGGACATAATTACCTGAACCAAATGAGTCAGTTCTGACTTTAGAGAAGAATTCGTAGGAAATCTAGCACCCAAAGAAAAAGCAATCCGAGGATCAATAGCAAATGCAGTTCTTGCATGTTCAATCCATTTCTCTGAGTTAATCTTATGCCTAGAAGATGTGCTCTCCCTGAGGATAAATCAGTAAATGATGGTAAGTCTGGGATTATTAGTCAATGCAAATGAAAGAATAAAAAAAGAATAACATGAAATAGTGGTATCTAAATTTACTTGGAGCCAATAGGTTGTGCCCAAACATCAAGCCTTTCAGCTTCGTGCTGGCATAGCATTAAAAGTAGCTGCTTCCTCTTCTCCCTACCAACAGCATTATTCTCCATTGATCCCCAAACAGGGTGATATGAATCCTTCTGAAGTTGGCAATGGAAAATCACATGTTCAGAACAACCAACATTGTATAAAAGCAACAGAAAATTGCAATCTTGTTGTAGTGTAAAAACACAAAGCAGCCGCTGGTGTTGATAAACACAAATTGACTGTACAAAAATCTTACCATACTAAGCAAAGCGCTTCCATTTTCCTGGCCCTGTCCTTTTGAATCATTTTGAGGAACATTCATTCGTTGATTTAACAGAAAGTGGACAAAAGCATGAACAGATTGAGCCTCGCTGTGCGCAAAATTCCCATTATTTGTCTCATACCACTCAGGTTGATGGCAAAACCAGCCTAAAGAGGCCCTGCAGTCAGAAGTCAGTGTCATCTTTCTGCTGACAAGCATCAGAGTTTAATTAACAGAGGTTCCAAAGAAGTAACAGGAAGGTATGAATTAGAGGATAGAGCAGTGGCTGAAAGAGCATTATTATAAAACCCAATTGGTCAACTGACGTGTTGACCAATGATTAGGCAGATGTGTAAGCCTTAATGCTTACATTCCCTATTACATACATGCACTCACACATATACAAAATCTGAAGGAAGGCATATTATAACCAATTGATATCATATACTTAAAGACACTCAAGCAGTAGCCACATCAACAGCTCATACTTCAAAGACAAATAACATGATGAAACAATAATACAGAAACAATACATCAAAAAGCTACACTTTCACTTAAGATGCTAATGCAGTAAAAAGAGGAGCAGAGAGAAAGAAGCAAAAGAGTATTGAGGGAAAAACTAAAATAGAAAAAATTAGCAGAGAATTAATCAACTAAAAAGTCGCACAATTTGCTGTCTGAATCTTATGATTGAGTTCATTCCATGAATCAAATGGTGCAAACCCTATTAGCACATCTGAATCCCATCTAAATGGAGATCATGTTGCGGAAGCCATGGTAAAATAGATGGACCCATATAACTTACCCAAAGATTTCTCGTGTTGTTTTTTGAATTTATCTTTATGATTTATTGATCCAAAACCTATTAGCAGTCGCATGAAGTTATGAAAGAAAGCCATTGGTTAGCTTTGGAGGAGTCGTAACAAAAGTGCAAAGGGACAAGATCAATTCTCATGATTAATATAATTATATTTAAGTTCATATATCTTTGGGATGTTTACGTATTGTGATTAATTACATTCATTTGATATAAATTGTTTTGCGAAAGGTAGAAGCAATCCATGACTCCATTCATTTTACAAGTTGAGAAAATTTCAGGTGATTCTGATCCAATTCACGAATTTGCAGCTATGGCTATACCATCCACAAATGTCATATAGCACCCTTGAGTGCCACAAGTTAACTCTCAGCTAGAGCATTCATCAACAGGATGATACAATTTCAAAAGCTGAAAATAAAATATGGTTCTGGAAGACAATAAAGGAATAAACTGCCATAGTTGTCAAGTCAATTCAGCAATTTGTAAGTCGAAGTCTTTATAGGGGAAGATAAAAATGATAAACCAATGTATAAAGTTCCAATCAAGGGTACCACAGAGTAACAGATGATAGTAGACAGTTATACCGGTAAATCCTGTCTTCTAGCAGCTGAAGTCCTAATCTAAACTTTTGCAGGTTCCCCTGATATTGGCATGAACATAGCTTAAGTCCAAGCAGCATGACTGTGAAAAATGTACCGGTTGCAGCTGGATGGCGTGAAAATCTCCAGGGGAATTTTGTAGTCCCTTGCAACATCCTGCCAAGAAGCAAGAGTTGTTCCACACTATTGTGTCTAACTACCTGTGAAACAGCACATATTAGAAAAGAAAAGAAAAATGAGAAGTAGAATAATGTGTAATTGTTCATTAATAGTAGCATTTTCCATTAGTTTTTTGGGACCAAAGTTTGCAGTATTTCCACTGGTAATTAGCATTCAAAAGGGTTACTTTACTAAATCATAACAAGATCATGCAAAATTTCTTACATTCCTTTTAGGCTTAATCATCTGTAGAAAAAACTAGCTAAGGACTGAAAGCAACATAATTGCTATATAACATTATTGACGCTAAGCACAAATTTTACCAGTTATAATTTAATTAAAACTACTAAACTATAATTTTCGGACATATATTATCTAGCAAGTAAGAACGTACCCAGCAAAATTATAGGATGTCATCTTTAATTTGAATAAGCTGTTAGTTCATTCTTCCTTTCCCCTTTGAACCACAAGAGAACCATAGCCTCCCAATTAATAAGAATTCCAGCGTCAACCCGGTTTTATCTATGTGCATTAAACTACTAATGTAAATCTCAGTTGGCAAAACCCAAAAGAAAAGAGTTGAACCTGTGAAAGTATCCAGTTGACCACTGGACTATTGCACAAGGTTATCTTTGTGTTAAACTGTTAATGACTTGGAATGACAAGTTCATGGTCACGAAGCATGCAATAAAATCAATGACGTAAAGAGTTTATTCAAGCTTTCATACTCAAAGTAAATACTATACATGTATTCCGCTCATTCAACTCTCTTAATTATTTCTCCCTTCTATTAATAAAAATCTCCTATTCTCACTAAGCATCCATAGATTTAAGGAAAGTTGCATTAGGTTTCTGTGCAATAGGATCCATCCTCCTTGCTGATATTCCCAGTTCTACCTATCCATCCTTGTGTCTTGTGTTTGGCATTCTCATTTTTCCTACTCGCATATTGTTTCTGTCTTGGCTTTTGGAGGCCAATATACAGACCTAGAAATCATAGCAGGTATAGTTTTCATCCTATAGACAGTGGTCCTTTTACAATCAGAAAAAACTGTCAATGCTTACCAACTCTTCATCCACCATGCATTTAGCCTATAACTAAAACCCACATCAGTTTCCCACGCTTTTGTAGAGCTACTGCCAAACCAAAAGACACCTTTTCTGGCACTTCCACATGCTTGCCACATCTACTTATTTTCTCTACCAAGACCATGAAGTTTCACTCATGTACTTTGTTTGTTCGTTTTGTCTAAATCCTTCTGTTATAACAACCCTAAACTTGCCTCCACTCATGACCTCGCCTCCTCAGTTAGAGAATGCAGTCATCTTTCTATCATGTATGTTCTTCCTATGCTCGTAACTAACCAAGGAGATATGGACTTAAAGCTATGCATTTGTATATCCCTGTACTAGGGAAGTTGCTAGTCTCAGCATTAGGTACTTCCATGCATGTAGCTATTCAATTGTACACATCTTCACTAACCTTATGGTACATTATAGGAACTTCATTCTCAAAATCCATTCATATCGCTTCCCTTGGCAACCCCAAATATGCCTCCTGTACATCAATAAACATCATATGCAAGTTCTTTTTTCTATCATGTATCTTTCCATAAGATGTCTAATCAAGAATTTAGATGCATTGACTTTCACATTCGCTAGTTTTCATCCATAAGTCATGCTCAATAACGCCCCTCCAATAGCATCGTGCTGCCTGATAGGCTTTGCACCCCTTTATTTTGCATACTTTGGATGTCCCTTTATTTTCGTAGACCAGGGACAACACATACAGCTTTAAAATTCAGGTTAAAATTTTGATGCAGGAATTAGATTATTTAGAGGTGAAACCGGTACTCCAGGGTTCAGTTTTGTTACTTAAAAAACAGAAGATACAGATTTGAACATTATACATAACTTCACATAAACTAATTACACGAAAAGAAATTCTCAAAAGAAACAACGGTCCAAGCTGTAAGCATATAGACATGCATTCGAGAGTAAAGTTTTTCATATCGTTGTGATAATAATTATTTAGCATATGCTATCTTTATAATTTATCTCGACAAACCTTTTCCACTTTCTGTTTCTATTTTTTTCTAGACCAAGCAGCTAATGATGAGTGTGACTAAATACCAGTGAACATCATAAAGCTCAGATGGAGCACACGAGCACAAAAAAAGTAGTCATATTCTGACTACAGTTTATGTAACATCCAGTTCTGTAAATAAACTAACCTCAAAACGATCAATGAAAAACCCAAGCCATAGCCTATGTGCTAGAATCTCTTGAACAGGGTCCTTCTCAGGTGGTGCTTCTGGCTCACCAGGTGCAAGCTGAGGCCTTAACTTGGAAGCTGGTCCAAAGAACCTCACTTCAGATGCAAAGAGTCCATGTTTGGTATCAATCGTCCATAACCATGCATCAACAAGCTCTGCAAGGACTACAGAACCCAACTGAGGAGCAGCAGAAACTAACCATGTCCAGATGAATACACCAGTCTCCATAGCATCAGGTGTAGATATATAAGCTGGACACCAACAAAGAAGTCGGAGGAGTTGAGAGAAGCTGTCTGCACTGGGTTTTGTATCTGAAGCCTGAAAATTTAATCCAGCAATTATTTTGCAAATAATAGAAAATTTTGGATCTCAGTACCAAAATACACAGACGTCGACATATTTTTCTGTTTACCAGATTTGAAAGTAGTAGTGCAGTTGCCTGAGAACAAGTCTCACGAAACGATGACTTGTCCACACCCCCACCTTTCTCCGCGGTGGAAACGAACTTTTGAAGTAGACGCACAAACTTGTTAAGTAATATCTCACCAAAGGACTGCTTTTTGGGTTGGGATGGTTGAAGAAAAGATCCAGATGTCAGCCTTGAAAGACCACCAGGTGCAGGAGTTGAAGGTGCAATTTCAGAATCATCATCTGCACTTTCCATATTCTCATACAACCTTGTCATGCCAGCAATTTCACCTGCATGATTACACTTGACTGTGGCACTGACGATAGCAGTGCTAAGAACTTCAATATTGAATGCCTCTGTCAACTTGAGATTTCCACCTGATGCAGCTGCTGCAGATGCCATTACTGCAGGGATGTTGGCAGTTTTTGTGCCAGTCCAACATTCACTTTTACCCGTGCCTATCCGTATCTCGGACAAAAGAGAAACAACATCTGTTGTGGGCTGTGCTTTTTGCCATGTATTTGCTTTACAAAGTTGCTCCTGAAGTCAACAATATATTTAGTTAGCCAGAAAAGGAAGTCAGTAAAACAAGCTGCAAGTAAACTACAAGCATGGACAAATACAGCAACAACCCTTTCAGCCAAACTAGTTGGTGTAGGCTAAAATGGAACCAAAAGAACCTATAATACGGTAAAACCCAAAAGAAAACATAAGGAGGTACCCACCCCCCAAAGGGTATAGGGAAAGAGAAATGCACTATTTAAATATATAATAAAATATAGCTATTAGATTTCACATAATTTTCTAGAATAACAAAATGTCGAGACTCGAGAGAACTTCTTATTTAGAACCCGAGAGCTAAAGTGCACACATTTCAACACTATGAATACTAGTTGAAAAAGCAAATCTTACTCTTTTAGAAAAGATGTGTTGTACGAACCATACAAAGTCCCATGGCCCACGGTGATGTGCATCGAGGGGCACAAACAGCCAATGCCAAATCACTAAGTTTGATAACCAGCAACGCTTGAGCAAAGGTCAACATGCCAACACAGGCAGGAAACTATTCAGGACCTAGTATTCACCATCTAAGCATCAGGCAACACAGCCTTGGGATATGGCTCAAGAAAAGAACAAGACAATCAGAGGGAACTGGTAAGCGGATTCACCTGCCATTGGTAACTTTCGGGATGATATGCATTATCAAGCCTAAACTATTTATAATGTGTACAGAACATCCAAGTACAACGAGTCGACATGACACGACTTTAAAAAAATGGATCATGATTGTTGATGGTGGTTCGCACTGCTCCTCTTAAAATAAAGTTGAAACCTACGTTATAAGGGAAGTGCAACCAATTTGTCTTACAAAAGAACAAGCAAAATGGAATGAGCTTCTCTGTTTCACATGTAAAACCCAATTTGAGGGGATGTGTTGAATAAGCCCAGAAAGTTAGGAATTACTTTCCTAATTTACAGATATCAGAAAATTAGAAAACTAAATCAGTTTTAGCATGTGTAAGTCTACTATTTTATTGGAGTAGGTTTACTTGTCAAAGCATAAAAAAGTTCATCGAATTGTACAGAAGTGTGTATGTATATCATGTATGTTTCCGGAATTAATCAATGAGAAAGAAGATAGATTCATCCAAAATCTTCAACAAATTCATGCATATATCATGTCATGAAGTAATTCCCATCATGAAGTTACACAAACCTGAAGAAGACCCTGGCTGGTGCATGGAGCATATGATAGTGAAATGATAATCCATTCCCGGACAACTTTTTGGTACAAAGAGCGAACAGAAGCTATTAAAGCAGGATCACTGACAAGTGCTGAAGGCGGGTCATTATTCACAGAAAAGAGGAGAGAATCCAGACAAGATGATTTCCACAGGATCTGCAGGCAAGAACATTTTAAAATTTGCATCAAGAGTAAAATAAAAGTAGAATAAAAAAATAAAAGCCGATAATCTTTTATTACAAAAGCTAGAGATTGAATTAGGAGAAATACAAATGTACTTCACCTGTGGAAATCTCTCTCTCAATTGAGACAACAGATTAATGGATACATCCCGAATGTGTTCTTCTCTAAGAGACAAACTCTTAATGAGAAAACAAGCATGGACAGCAAGAGTGGACTCTCTAACCTCCGCAGCATCTCCCGTCTCACAGATTTGACTCTCCTGTACATATAATGAGATTCATTTAAGTGTATACAACTAATTGAAAAGAGGTGAAGTAGAGGGCACAAATAGACAGGCATAAATAAACTTAATCCATGTAAATATTTATAAAAGGCAACTAGAAATAACAACTCTCATGAAGACAAAAACAAGAATCAGAAATCCTTGATGCTAATCTTCTAAAAGGCATCATACCAGCCAAAAACGATAAGCATAAAAAAGCACCATTAAAATTGCCTCTACACAAATTATAAGGCATGAGGGTCTGTGACTTTATATCCCAATATTAGAACACGACAAATCACATACTGAGACCAGCATAACCATTAGTTAGAGGACCAAAAAGGGGGGGAGTTGACATTAAAAACAATACCTAGAGCCTCTAGACCAATGACAGTATCAGAATAAAGACATATGATGCCAGAAAGTTGGTCTAAGACAAGTTAGATGTAAATTTCATCATCAACAAATTATTTTTGGAACTACATTAATTCCATAAGTGGATTTATCCCAGTGAGGGCGAGTTATCAACTATATTGCTTACAAGCAGCGTATGAGAAAAAATTACCAGCCATGTTAATGCTGTCTCAAAAGAACGATGAACAATGGCCATTAAGCATTGGAATACAGCTGGCATAAGATTTGGGCTTTTGAGATACTCAAAAACACAGCTGAAGGCACTCCTAGAAGCAGTAGAACCAGGACCACAATTAAGGATGCCACCATTACTGCTGAATCGTATAATCTCCAAAAATGCGACTGCAAGAAGATAAGTTGCCTTCACCCCTATAAATTTTCAGCAAAAGAATGAGAAAATCTTTCACAAAACAACGTAAACCAAGCATCTAACTCAATGCAACAAACACGACCATTTTCCAAGCAAATATTGGGGGTGTAAATAGTAAAAATGTGCAAAGAAAGGAGTATGTCGATAGCTGACAATATAACTGTGAAGATCACACTGAGTGATAACTTGATCCACTTGCTATTAAAGCACCAGGTAAGCAAATGGCTATAACAGAAGTCTCCATTGGTGGTAGCCCTCTCCTGGAATAAGAGTGCCTAAAGAAGGATGCTTATAACTCTCATCTCCTACCAAACACGCACCAGCCAATTTTGACTAGAGCTATTTGCCAAAAACAATTGCCATCTAATGGAAGGCTGGTAGCTGATATTACTTCCAAGCAAGATTAAATAAGATGAATAATAGTATCTGCGGAGTGAAAAAATGTACAGCTATTCCAATTTCTTTACACCTGAAATTGCGCTCATTGCTCCAACCTCAACGCGCCCTCCTAATGAAGCAGAAAGGGCTGTTCTTTGGCTCACAGCAGCCTTCTCATTTCCACTTCCTCGACGGCTACCAGGATTATGAAGGGCATTTAGTTCTAACTCGTCCTCTAGCCATTTTACAGAGCTCACTACCTGTGAAAGAAAACAAAAACACAAAATTCATGCTTCTAGTCTACACATCTAAGAGACCTGACAAAAGCAGAAGATACAACCATAAGCATTTGGTGTAAATACAAACTTAACCAATACTTGGCTGAACAAAGGTATATGAACCATTAGTATTATATAAGCCAAAGTTTGACTGTATATCCTTGATTTCGGAAAAAATTTAATTGTTTCCAAATATAAAATTAAGCGTTCAAGCATTTACGGAGCAACTTTTACCCTAACTTAGTATTAAATGAAAACCATTGACGATCAAATTATAAGTTTCCACTCAATGCTAACATACAAGGGGTGGAGTCCCTTGAGAAATGCGCTGAACAGCAGAAGACCACTGAGGGTTCCACATGTACGGTCCACCCACGGCTTGAAGGGCAACCGCACTTGTATTCCCTCCATTGTTCAATGTTGTAGAATTCAGCTTCACTGAGGTTGGAGATTTCAGCACCGGAGGCGCCAAGCCAAACAGCGCAATATAGAACCATAGGTTACGAAATAACTTCAGGAGTGAAGGTTCAACATCCATAGTTGGATCAAAATCAGAACATATTTCAGCCACAGCAGGAAGTAGAGGCCCAAGAAAATCAGCTCCGCTGCTGCAAATGAGAAAAAGATATGCATTAGGTTAACTGCATACAAAAGGTTTCAGATCATTTGTATATAATGAATTATGGTCACCATAAACATATTTCAGATCATTTTAGCATTAATGATACTATATAAGCTCCATAGTACTTATGGCTATAACCTAATAGATGCATTGGTGCCCTGTAATTTGTGAAAAAATAAGCTTTGGTATTATAAGGTCTGCAATTCAGGTCTTCCTGTTGGCAAGCTTGTTAGTGTAGGTTGCACAGCATAAACAGCAATGTCCAAACTTTTTTGTTTTAGGCAAGTAGCTATTATATTTATCGTTGAATGTTTCTCTAGTAACTTGAAATTTCAAAGAAGTTGGTTAATTTATATTAACAAATACAAATACATTAACTAAAGTTTGTATGAAAAGCAATACGGATTTAGTACAAATGTGCATCATCATGAAATACGGTTAAAACACAACTCTTACCTTCCACTCTTGGACTCGGCTGCCAAACCTACATCTGAGCATAACGATAGCAGGCGATGACGAAAGTCCACCCGAAGTTTTCCATTCGTTAGGCCTCTGGCTATGGATTGAAATCCTGCAGGAAGAGTCTTGAATGTAATTGAACCAGTGAGCATCTAAGGTAAAATTAATTTACAGAAAGTCTGCTGAAGGTGAGCATAAACAAATTTATTGTTAATGTAATACAGTTCCAAGACCAACTTATCTAAATTATATTAGTACACAAGTAAAAATATTACTTATATATATAGAAGCCAATTATGAGTGGCTACTGCAATAAGAATCCAATAGTCACACAGATATAGTTTAGCCATAAGAGAAATGGTTAGCCATAAAGCAAACCTACTAATGCTAATATGGTTATATTTGATAAAAAATTACCCTTCGCAACAGTTGTCAGTCTAATTCAACTTATTAAAATGGATGTAAGTGAATTGTGGACATAATTCCAGCAGGACATACCTCAACTCGCTCCGTGTTGGCCTCTGCTGGCAAGGTCTTGCTTTCCGCAGATCCGATGCTGGAAAGTTTACTTAAGTAGCTTCTTATCATTAGCACAACAGCTTCACGATAGGACTTCTCAAAACCTAAGCTCGCGATGCGAGAAACAGCATCAAGAAGCTGCAGTGACTCAACAAAGAAAGTTTGAGAATTCCTCGATATACAGAATTCAGTGGACGTTGAAGTTTCAAAGAAAGAAAAGGTTCAATCAATAAGGCTAAAAATTGTGTAAGCCAGCGAAATTGTTGCTCGATTGAACTACCAATCCCAGGTTGGAACCTTAACCTCTTACGGTGAAGACATATTCCTTTGTCTCTAAACCAATTTATATTATTTTTTAGGATGGATTGGATGGTAGCGAGAAGGATAGCTATGCAACAAAGACTCATTTAATCAGAAGAGGCTTTGATACTGATTGCAACAAGAAAAATGAATGACTTTAAAAATATAGAACTTGTAACCATAAAAAAACAAGATTTAAGATAAGTATCATACTCGGAGACGCAATAAGCCAGGTATTGAAGCATCACCCTCCTCCAAACTTTCAATGAACAATGGCAATATGGTGTCAACCACTTCAGTTTTCTTAACTTGTACATTTAGCTCTGCAAGCAACCGTATGACATTGAGCTGTACGATAGGAACTGCTTGCTTCTCTTTAGCATCCTGAAGTTATGTACATAAATCATAAATATATTTGTATATGAATAAAAATAAATTCCATCTCAATGTAAAGTGAATTCTAATAATTAGTAAACAAAATTACCCAATATAGGTCGTCTTTCAAAAAGTTGAATTGTTAATTCCAACAATATATTGGTGGTTTTACTAAGCGCTACTACAAAGAGACCATTAGGCCTCATGCTGCCAACAAAAATAACTCAGGTAAATATGGGAAGTATGCGTTCTTGTACTTGCAAAAATATGGGATAAATGACAAGAGTTGCCATTTTGTGAACTTCAATGCATCTTGATTATTGTCACCTCGTTCAAAGAGAGAGAGAGACTATTCCTAACAATGTATTATCAAATCCTATATGTGTTCTCAACTCCTTAGGGGCAATACCCCGTGGCTGGAAGGCATCGTCAGTTCATGCGCAGTGTTTATAGTTCATTATGTGCGTTTGGTACATAGGACAGGACAGGACAAAACAAAAGAAAAAGACATTGTCCCACGTTTGACGTGACATTGGACAGAGACAACATGGGACTGGATGGGAAAAGTGCAATTTTTTGTCCCACCAAAATTGGAGGAACAGAAAAACAGAGGATGGGACCAAATGGCTATATTACAAAACTACCCTCGTATGATGTGTATGTGTGTGTGTGTATATATATTATAAATATTATAGAACATACTATATATTTATAAAAATATTGTATCATATCTTATATATTATGTTATATTATAGCAATAGAGGGAAGCTCAAATAAAAAGGCTAAATATCACGAGAAGGTAAGAAGGGAAGGTTAAAGAAAGGTTCGCATGTGAATAATTGAAAAAATCTATTTGAAGATGCATACGTGAACCCATATGAATAATTTGTAACTTTGGTTCACATATGCATCTTCAAATAGATTTTTCAACGGATTCACATATGAACTTCCCCTTAACCTTCTCTTCTTACCTTCTCACGATATGTAGCCTTATTTGAACCGGCCCCTATAGCAATATTATATACATATGTATACACGAATGTTTATGAATATAATGTAAAAATTATGTATGAATTGTAATAAATATAATATGAAAACTATGTATGAATGTATATAAATATAGTACAAAAATAACGTATGAATATTTATAAATAAATTATCTAAATACTTAGTTGATTTGTGTCATATAACTATTATATGAATTATAAAAAAAAAACCTTAAACATCCTTTAAGAGGAATCTGGACATTTTAACATTTTGTCATGTCATGTCCAGCTTACCAAACACCGAATCAAACATGATAGGACTTATGGGATCTTGTTTCAACTAAATCTCATTTATCCACACCCCATTATCATCATTAAATCTGAGTATCAATGTGAGTCATGCACCGTGTGTTTATGTGGCCATCTTGAGGGAATGGTTGCTCGCTCATGTGAATTTGATTCTTAGCCTTAGTAGTCAATTTTAGCTTATTATTTTTGCATCTTAGTTATTAATATCATCCATCCTTATTTGATTTACTTCTCTACACTTATTGGAACTAAATAATCGAGAGGATAAAATAGTCTTTGTGGATGCGATATCTAGTTCGTCGAACTATATTACTTGTTGGCTTCATGTGCTTGAGGGTATAAATATGTCCAAGAATGCTAGAGGGCTTCGGATAGACTCGTGGACAAGTCGGACAGGCCAAGATCCAGAGACCACAACACACATACACACACGCATAGAGACGCACTGGTGTAGAAAGTATATTCATAAACATTTAACAGTTTGCTAAACTGAAGTGTGTAATAAGAGAAAAAGAAGAAGAAAGAATATACCCAACCTCTTCCTCATAGTCACTGCGTTCACGTATACTTGTAGCCAATCCCATAATAAATGTATCCACTGGAGCTCGGTCCTTAGTCCATCCATATTCGATAATCTCACAGCTTGCCTTCAAGACGCTCTCAAACATAGCTCCCTGGCTGCTTGCCCAAGTATCAGCCTAAAAAATGAATCATAAATCAAATAAACAACCCACCAAAAAACCAAAGTAAGATACACGACTTAACAAAGATCAAACAAAATGATACATACTTGAGCACATGTAGTTAGCACAAGCGGTTTGAATCGTATAAACAGAACACGTAGTAGATGACCTCCACGGGTAACAGCAATTTTAGAGATGCCATCAAGCAAGTAACTGAAAAGATCTTCACAAATTCGCAGCTTACGCCACACCGAATAGACACAAGCTTCAGCGGCTTCGACTAACAATGCCAGAGCTCCATGCAACAATTTCTTTGATGATTTCCCATCTGAATCAAGGGATGCAAGACCTCTGATTTTCAATTTAACTGCTGCTTTGTAAACAGAAAGTTTGGTATTGATTCTAGCTTTAAGTAATGATCCCTGCTCCGTCCACTCACGCTTCCTTATCTGCCCAACAAATTTCATATACCAGCTCTTAAATGTTGCACTTGTTTTGCGATGTCAATGAACTACAAACAAAACATACACAGTACCTTAAATTATTTCAGGCAAACCTTACCTTTAGAAAATCTGAAATTGATTTCAGTTGATCCTTTGTAATAACGTGCACCCGTTCCAAAAGCTTGGGATCAATCTGCGATCTATCAAGAATATGTCCAATTAATTTGAAGGCAATCTCTTGTTTCTCGAGGTTCTCCACCAATTCCTCTTCAAAGTAAGCAACCCCCCTCCTATCACTAGCCGTGGGAGTGCCCATTCCCGTCCACGCACTGCTGCTTCCCCCGTTCGTAACTAAGGCCTTCGAATTGGCATCATCTATACCGCCACTAGATGAACTAGAAGCAGCAACATTGCTAACACTAATTGGGGAGCTCTGTGAGGAAGAATTAGAACCCATTATACCCTTGGGCGAACTGCTACCTGGGAGAGCAAACTCTAGACCATCAAGCAATGAAGAAACCAATTTATTTGCATCCGACGGGATAATCGGTGGGAAACTCTCAGATAAAGCACTCAAAAAAGCCTTGGAAATCCCCACATCACCACACCTATCATTAACAGCAGCAAACACTATGTCTCCCATGAACCTCGCCACATCAGAGTCGAAATCCGGATGCAGTTCAGTTGCTTTACAAACGTACCCGAAGAATTCCGCATAAAAAGAAGCAATCGAAGCGTTCCCAAACGATTTTGGCCAAAATGATTGGTCAAAGGAAGCTGGAACTGCTCGTATGAACTCAAGAACAATCGTTCGAGGACGGGTATCATTGTAATTGCCGCACTTGGAAATGAATCGGGCTGTTACAAGAACCGCATTGAGCTGAGACCGTGAAATTCTCGGAGATCCGGAAAGGAGAGAGTCCGACGGAGGGCACCGGTTGCAAATCCAAGCAATTTTGTCCAGAAATTGACTAGGGTTCTGCGCGATCAAATCGCATAACTCCGTCAATGCCTCCATTATCAACTAATGATGAAATAGTGAGAAAAAAAATTGAATGAAATCAAATCTTCATAGTGAATTGTAGGGTTTAAGTATGAGATCAAGAACGCCACGAATTGGGGGAAGAAAAATTTGGTTACATAAAATTGCGACCCAAATTCAAGGTTCTTCTATGTAACCTCCCCCTTTCTTCACTGTAAACCCTCGTATCTGTTTCCGCTTTCTAACGCAAAAAGCTACATTTTAACATGATAAATTGATATTTTATTTGAATAATTTATTTTAAATGGTTAAATTTTTTTAAAATAAATTTTTCAATTTTAAATGAACTAGAAGCGTACTCGCGCAATGCAGCGAGATACATCATGATTTTAATATTTCATTTTCTTCTTTATCTCAGTC